ACTTTTGATGCTTTCATAAATGATACTTTTGAAATAAATTCATTTTTTAAAAACTGCTGGTATAGAGAAATGTAATTGATTTTTATATACTGACTCTATATTTAACAATCTTGCTAAGCTATTTTATCAGTCGAAGAGTTTAGCTGCTGATTTTTAAATTTTATGTACTCAATCGTACGACAGCTTTCCAAGTGTCATAACTTTTTTCTTTTTCGTTCCCTATTGCACTGGCTAAAACCTTCAGGACAATAGGAGTGACATCAATGGCATTCTTGTCTCGTTTCCAATTTCAAAGGAACTCTTAGAACATTTTACTGTTAAAGATGATACTTAATGTAGATTTTTTGGTAACTCTCCTTCATCAGACTGAGAAAATTCCTTTCTCTTTTTAAAAAAATCATAAAAAGGTACTGATTTTAACAAATGCCTTTTCTGCAATTCCTGAGGTAATTGAAGAATTTTTCTCTTGTAGTCTGTTGATGTGGAAATCTATATTGATTCTATGTTTTATAGTTTGCCAGTTTTATGCAGTCACTCTCAATCTTAATGTTTAAAAATCTCTTTGCACATAGTAAACTTACATATTTTAAAGTCTATCTTATTTCAGCATCCAAAGACCCCTATGGATCTCTTTATGTTCTTTATTTTCCTGCTGGTTATTGTTTATGCCTTATTTTCTGATGTGCCTGCTTATTTTTGCTTATGAACTATGTATTTATAATATTTTAAACAGAAAAAATTAGAGACCAAGGATGATGTTATCTTCCTCCAGAGAGGATTTATGTTTATTTCTGCCAGATGCCTGGTGGCATTAACACCCAAGGTTGCTTGAGGGCACTATCACTCCAGAGAGCTTTAATCTGAGTTCAGTGACTGACATTATTTAAGCTGCAAACCCTGCAAGGGTTTATCTATTCTGGTCCACCTTCATTTCTAACGTGCAGTCTTTGGGATGGACAATGTACAAAGTACGAAGCTCCACTAAGTGAGCACTTGGACCTTAATCCTGTCCCACAGCCCGCAGAAGTCATCAAAAGCATCTCTCTGCCTCTCAATTCCCCTCCTGAGTTGGCAAATGCTCTTAGGAGAAGTAGATCCAAATACTGGGCCATCTCCTTGGGACTCTGCTGCCCCTAGACCCCCAATGCTGGCCTGATTTGTTAACTTGAATGCTTTCAAAAGTAAGTTTTTCTTATGGCACATTGGCTCACGCCTGTAATCCTAGCACTTTGGGAGGCTAAGGCGGGTGGATCACTTGAGGCCAGAAGTTCAAGACCAGACTGGCCAACATGGTGAAACTCCATCTCTACTAAAAATACAAGAATTAGCTGGGTGCAGTGGCACGCACCTGTAATCCCAGCTACTTGGGAGGCTGAGGCACGAGAATCACTTGAGCCTGGGAGGTGGAGGCTGCAGTGAGCGGTGATCATGCCACTACACTCCAGCCTCGGTGACAGAGCGAGACTTTGTATTAAAAAAGAAAAAAAAGTAAGTTTTTCTATTTTTGTTCAATTTTTAAAATTTCAATAGAAATGTTAGTGTGAATTACTTAGCTTGCTATTACTGGAACTCCTTTATTGATTTTCTAGTGTTAAAATCAATTTCGCTTTCCTGTAGTGAACCTGATTTGGACATGATTTATTATCTTTTTAAATGTTTTGCTGGATGTGATAAATCCCTAAAGTGTGCTTTCCAGGACCATGTGAAGAAAAATTAAGGCAGAAAGCTAGGAACCAAGAAGAGCCCTTGGCTAAGCATGTATTTCCCTTATGTTGCCTTGAATTTGTCGCCTAACTGGCTACACTGCCTGAAATCGCACCAGAGAAGAGGAATCCAAAGAGAAGTCTCTGTGTCACCAGACCCCTTGTTATTTTTAAAAACTTATTTATTTACAGATAGGGTCTCATTCTGTTGCCCAGGTTAGAAGAGTGCAGTGGCATGCTCACAGCTTACTGAAGCCTGGACCTCTGGGGCTCAAGCAATCCTCCCACCTCAGTCTCCTGAGTAGCTGGGACTACAGGCACATGCCATCACGCCCAGCTACTTTTTGTATTTTCTGAAGAGACAGGGTTTTGCCAATTGTTGAGGCTGGTCTTGAACTCCCAGAGTGTTGGGATTAGAGATGTGAGCCACTGCACCCAGCCCAGACCCCTCTGCTAAAGCAGAACACCCCACGGCAGTGTTAGGGGGCCAAGCCTCTAGTTTAATGAGACTATTTTCCTTCTAAATAGGACTCGTTAGGACTCAGCCCCATTCAAAACATAAAATTGTTCATGGAAGGAGGAGAAAAACCAATAATTTTAGAATTTCTCCCAAACCCAGGTTGAGAAGGTCCATGAAAGAGGCGATCCGGTGAGCCAGGCAGTGGGGCAGGTTGAAGGCAGCACTCAGACCAAGCAGGGCAGGGCCTTCGGTCTCTGTTCAAATTTGAGGTGTGAGTTTCCCTGAATGTGGCTTTGAGGGCTCCTGAATAGACAGACTGTTTTCCTCCAACAGCTGGGGGCACCTGAGACCTTGACCTGCACTCCTTGGGGGCAATACCTCCAGAACACTGATGCCTCCCTTAGAGTTTTTTTTTTTTTTAAATCAAATTTCACTTTAAAAGGGCACTGGAGCTCTGAAAAGCAAGCCAGGTCCTGAGAACAGACAGACGCAGTAACTGACACCAAGCAAGCTGACATATTTTATCTGGAAAATGCCTGAGCCAAAACTAGCTCCTGGTCAAACACTGCATATTATTTGAAAACCAGGCCACTAGAACATGAATCCAAAGAGGGCCATGGCTATGTTGTTTCTTTCCTGCGGCTCTTGGGACTGCTGTATCCAGCAGGTCAGCTGGCACTTTAGAGAAAGTGGGTACAGGAGAGACAGGGAGAGTACAGCACATGTTCCACAGGAGGCCATGCTGCCCTGGAATTTAAAGTGCCACTCTGGGCCATTTGAATACCTTAGACTAAGGAAGGACCCCCAGGCTCGGGGAATGAATGGTGTTGGGAGCCCCTAGCAGGGCGTGGGATCTAGGTACTAGGAGAGAGTTCTCGCCAGACTGCCCACAGACCCTCCCTCGGGTTGCACGTCCCTCAGGGAAGAAACAGAGGCTAACTGGTAAACCCTGAGGAGGGGCCTCCTCCCACAGAGGCCATCCCTTTTATGGCACCCTCAAAGCACTTCTGGAGCCTGGAATAAAAAGAGAATGCCGGCTGGGTGTGGTGGCTCATGCCTGTAATCCCAGCACTTTGGGAAGCCGAGGTCAGGATCACCTGAAGTCAGGAGTTTAAGACCAGCCTGGCCAACCTGGTGAAACTCCAGTTTCTACTAAAGATACAAAAATTTGGCCAGGTGTGGTGGTAGGTGCCTATAATCCCAGCTACTCAGGTGGCTGAGGCAGGAGAATTGCTTGAATCCAGGAGGCAGAGGTTGCAGTGAGCGGAGATCGTGCCACCGCACTGCAGCCTGGGCAACAGAGTGAGACTCTGTCTAAAAAAAAAAAAAAAAAAAAGAGAGAGTGAGAGAGAGAATACAAATGACTATCAGAGCAAAGATTTCTCATGGGTCCTGATCTTAGCTATCATCTGAGGAACAGAGAAAAATAGTTATCTAAGAGGGAAAAATAAAAACTAAAGCATTGTACTTATTTTCTTTCACATTAAATAACACAGAAAATAGTCACCTAACCTCAACAGCAATGAATAAAATACTTCCATTCTATCAGCTCAGCCAAAAAAAGAAATCTTTAATGGTGGGGTTTCAAGTGTTTGCAAGCCTACGGGGAGCCATGGGGGAGTCAGCAAGGCTATCCCCTGCCCTGGACTACTTCCCAAAGGACCTCTACCCTGCATTTGGGCTGGAGCTGAGGACTGGGGTTTCTAGTTCCTATGCATGCCATGTGAGAATCTCTGATCTTCCTTCCCTATCCATGGCCAAAGTCTCAGGCCCTTCCAGTTCTGCTCATTCCTCGGGACTCAGACTCACCATGTCCCCTAAGGTCCTCCCCGCTCAGACCACAGTCGATCAGAACATCCTGGTCCTATGCTCCCTGGTCAGGGCTCAGAAGACCCAGGTGCAGCTAGGCTGGCCTCAGGACAATGCCCTTTCCCCCGAGACCCAGCCTGGCTGCACCTGACTTTGAGTGTAATGGCATAAACCAGACAGATGGTTGGTTTTTCCCTAAGTTTAAAAAATGTATTAACATCTAAAAAACATTTTACTAAAGCACAACATACATGCAGAAAAGTGCACTCATTATAAGTGTACTGCTCACTAAATTCTCCTAAAGTGAACTTATCTGTGTAAACATCACCCAGCTCAAGGAAAAGGATAGGACCCCACAGACAAACTAGGTTTTAGAAGTGTTGCTGTAGGCCAGATGAAGTTCAGTGCTTGTTTCTGTGCTGGGTTTTCTCATACTTCTAATCTGACATGGCCTGACAAGGTTTCATTGTCCTTTGCTGTGATGTGACATTGTACAGAAAAGACCTTGTCTCACACTGGGTTGAAGGCCTCTATAGGGCTGGACCCCAGCTGTATGTTAGGGTCTTTGTAGACAGAGCCTGAATGATCAAATGAATCCTGACCAGGGCATGCAGGTGCCCAGCCCAGAGTTGGAGGATCTTAGGCCTCATTCTCTTTTTCAGACATCACAGGAGGCCAAATGACCAGAGTCTCCAGTCAGGCACTAGAGCAACATTATTACCTCTACCCTATAGAGACAGCTCTGGGATGTAGAAAGTAATGATCAGCTCATCGATTCATCCAATAAGCATGGATTACACATCCACCTAGCCCAGGGACGGCACGTAAGGCAAGCACAGTCCCTGACCTCTTGGAGAGAGCTCGGGCACCCAACAGGTCAGGAACTAGCAAGAAACCCTTATAGAATTCTAAACCTCTGCCCTACCCTGCTCCAGTTCTGGCTCCCCAGGGGGAAGCTAAATGGGGCTGTCCCCAGCCCAGAGGTAGAGAGGAAGCTGCCTTAACCAGCTGTCTCTGCTCTTCTGCAGGCCCTGCCATCCCGGTGGGCGTGGACGTGCAGGTGGAGAGCCTGGACAGCATCTCCGAAGTGGACATGGTATGCAGCGCCCTTGGCTGGGTGGCCTCCAGTGAAAGAGCATGAGAGCTGTGGTGTGGTGGGACTTGGTGGGGCTCAGTGGGGCAGTGCCCGTGTGGGCGGAGCGGGAGCTGGAGGTGATAAAATGGGCACTTGGAAGTCGGTCTGGGAGTAGTAATATCTAGAGGGTCATTCTCATGCTGCATGGGCAAAAATAACCTATGGAGTTGGCTAAATGTAGGTTCGTGGGCCCCATTTCACACTTTCTGATTCAGAATCTCTCATTTTCAAGACACATCACAAATAATGCGAGTGGTCACATGAACCACACCTGGAGGGTACTGGAGTGGGCAGTTTCAGGCGGATACTGTGCAGCTCTCTGATGGTCCATTCCTGCTGCAAGCGCAGTTCCCTACTCACTCTGTGGCAGTGCCCCCCATTCCATGTCTACCCCAATTCTACCACCACAGGCCTGGGTGTCCTGCAGGGCTCACAGTGGAGTGGAGGGCACCCCCGACCCCAAGGCCCAGCCTCCTCTCTTCCTTCTTCTGTGTGCCTCTTTCAGTTTGCAAACTTCCTCTTTCTTCTGCCTCAAGGACCTTGAACATGCTCTGGTTTTGGCCTTCCCCACAGCTGTCTCCCTCTTATCCTCAGCCCCCCCCCAAAATGAGGCTTCATCGAAGATGCTTCCCTGACCTCCTGATCTAAAGAATTTCTGCTTTTTCTTCATAGCCTACATCATCATTTATAATTGTGCTATATGTTTATTTGGGGGGCTTTCTTGTGTATTGGTTGTCTTCCATGCTTGACTATAAGCTCCACGAATGCAGTGACTCGTGTTTTTCTTTACCCCAATATCTCCAAGTCTAGTCCAGTATGGCTCCCCCAGGAGCCCTCAAAACATGTGGAATAAAAGTTGGGGCGAGGTTCCACCTTCCAGCACTGCATCCCTCTGCAATGCTGTCATGTGCCCTTGAAGCATGGGAGCTCCCCTGGCTCCTAATCAACCCAGCACAGCAGAGCTGATATGATTGATGCGGAGGCTGTGCACCCCCCATAGCTCCAGCACTCAGTAAAATATGGGGCCTAGGTGTGAAAGGTGCAAGTATGACAGTTTCCAAGATGCTAGATTGTACATTGCCAGACCCTTTGGCTATCAGCCCCTGATATCCAAAAGCTGAGCCCAGTTTCAGAACCTGCTGTGTCTAGAACAGCCTGGCTGCCCTAAACTGAGTCAACCCAGATGTCTGTGCTGTGTGTGAAGACTTTTGTCCCGTGTGGCTCAGGATCCTAGGGAGAGGTATCACAACCTGCCTCTCACAGAGCAACCACCAGCTCGTGGGAAGACAGGTGGACACCAGCAGTAGGTACGTAACATCCAAGGTAGCCATGCACCACTGGTGTTTGTGAATCTGCACTTCCCCTGGGCAATGGCCCTCAGCTCTGTGACCTAGAAGGGAAATAGCCAGAAAGGGCATTTGGCTGGTTTCTTCCTACTCACGTATTGGCTGCTCTCCTTGCATGTGGAAGGGGAGTTCCCGGCAGCTGCTGAGGCTCTGGGGGCCAGGATCAGTCTAGGGACAGATTCTCATTCATGCACTATCGCAGTGCTCCCTCATTCTTTCCTCTCTTCCTGGGGCTCCCTCTGGGTTCGCCACAACCATGCACTCTCTCCACCCTTGCTCCACCCAGAAGAGGACCTTTTGGGCAGTTATTTTTCTATTTGCACCTGTGTGAGCTCTGGCTATGAAGGACCAAACTCTTAATTTAAGGCATCAACCATGCAGGCAAAGAGACACTTTTAAACAAGGTCAGATTTCAGGCAGAAATTACAGTAGGTATGCAACTGCTCATCCCCTCATCCATTTATCTCCCCAATCTTTCAACCAGCAAATATTTACTGAGCATCTACTATGTCCTTTGCCAGGTATTAAATTCTGTGGTGAATGGGGATTCAATGGTGGGCAAGACACAATTTTCCTTCAAGGATCTTACAAGCCTAATGGCAAGAATCATCCTAAGAGGGATGTTCGACTATCCGGGTTTCTGGAAGTGACAACTAAGCTGAAATGGAATGGTTACCAGTGGGTACCAGTGGGTAAGGAGCCATGTGTGCAGAGGTCTAAGTGAGGGAGAGTGGAGCTTTGGAGAAATCCTTCCCCACTGGCATCGGGCCAGGCTGCCAGTGTCACAGTCACAGTTTTCATTTGCAAAGCCTGAGGGGCCGGTTGCTCAGTCTCCTGGGCTCCAGCTGCATGATACATAAAAGTAAGCCATTCTCTTTCCAACTGCATGGTGTCATAATGCCACAGGGCTGCAGAACTGTCACCTCTGAATCTGGAGGCTGAGCCTGAGATGTCCATCACAGTAGTGGATGATGGGTCGACTGTAAGGAAGGAAGCTTTCTAAGCCATTTCTGTCTGGTCTCACCCCGGCTCCCACAGGACTTCACTATGACTCTGTACCTGCGGCATTACTGGAAGGATGAGAGGCTCGCTTTCTCCAGCGCCAGCAACAAGAGCATGACCTTTGATGGCCGGCTGGTGAAGAAGATCTGGGTCCCCGACGTCTTTTTTGTTCACTCCAAAAGGTCATTCACACATGACACCACCACTGACAACATCATGCTGAGGGTGTTCCCCGATGGACACGTGCTGTACAGCATGAGGTAGCTGTCCAGGGCCACGGTTCCTTTGTCCAGTGTTGTTCCAGTATGTGCGGTCAGGCCCTTTGGCCCTGAAGACTGTCACTACGGTTGGGTCTGTGGGTTCCTGGATGGGATGAGCCTTCTGATGCCAGTCAGAGCTGTCTAAAGATGACGTGGCTACCCCAGCAGGGGGGTGACTTCCCCATCATTGGGGGTCTTAAGCTTGGGTGAGACTACTTTGGCCTGAATGAGTCGATGGAGACAATGGGCTTCCATATACTGTGCCTTCCGTTCCCTGAAAGCATGTGATTCTAGTTGATTGGGAATAAAGATTTTTAAAAAACACTCCAAAAAGAAAAAGCCAGGCACGGTGGTTCACGCCTGTAATCCCAGCACTTTGGGAGGCCAATGCGGGCAGATCACCTGAGATGGGGAGTTGGAGGCCAGCCTGAGCAACATGGAGAAACCCTGTCTCTACTAAAAATACAAAATTAGCTGGGTGTGGTGGTGCATGCCTGTAATCCCAGCTACTCACTAGGGAGGCTGAGGTAGGAGAATCGCTTGAACCCGGGAGACAGAGGTTGCAGTGAGCTGAGATTGCACCATTGCACTCCAGCCTGGGCAACAAGAGTGAAACTCCATCTCAAAAAAAAAAAAAAAAAAAAAAAAAAAGCTACTGTGTATTGAGTGCTATTGCAGAGTGGCTTCTGGAGCATGGGGAGTTATGTAAACAGACATATTTCACATTTTTAAAAACGAATTTTTTTTCTTACTTGTCACTAAGGAAGCTCATTGTCCCACATCCCTCAGTCTGCTCGTACAGTCCACCAGAATGCAGTGGTGATATTCGACACTTCTGGCCTTGGGCGGGAGTTGGGAGGGGGCCTCCCAGGCACCTCTGGAGGAGTTGGCTCTGCTGGCTGAGGGCACAGGCCAGAAAGAGGCACAGGAGAGAGCCATTAGCAGCCAGTACCCCCCAGTGGCTGGGGGAGGGGCACACCAGCCCAGTAACGGGGATCTGGCAGAGCACTAACATTAACACTCCACTACAGAAGACAAAACTCTGGAAGTTAAGGTTCTGTAACTCAGATAACTGTGTTTCCAAACGTCTGCAGCAGATGTGAGGAGGCAGCTTCTCTCAGTTGTGTGCCTTGCCTTCTTGCTCTGGGCAGACATAGGAGCCAATAACTCTCTGCACAAGCCAATATGTGACTCTGGGTTGTCTAGGATTACGGTCACTGCCATGTGCAACATGGACTTCAGCCACTTTCCCCTGGACTCCCAGACCTGTTCTTTGGAGCTGGAGAGCTGTAAGTATCAGCATTCCCAATTCCCTCGCCTTCTTTCCTCTCTGATCTTTGTGCCATTTTAGTAATCATGAGACTGAGCACTGCCTGCCAGCGTTAAGACCTATTTACTTCTGGACTGGCACAGGATTTCCCTGTTGCTTCACCCTGCATAAGAAGCAAAGGAGTCAAATTAACTTGTTTTCCCCTTCCCAAAGATGCGTATACAGATGAAGATCTGATGCTGTACTGGAAGAATGGGGATGAATCCCTAAAAACAGATGAGAAGATCTCCTTGTCTCAGTTTCTGATTCAGAAATTTCATACAACTTCCAGACTGGCCTTCTACAGCAGCACTGGTAGCTATCTTTTGCCACAATCGGATTCAAATGCACAAGAAAGCACATTTGAGTTCTTCAGCCTTAACCCCAAGGAAAATAATGTTTTGTGTGTGTTTTGTTTTGAGACAAGGTCTCGCTCTGTCTCCCAAGCTGGAGTGTAGTGGTGAGATCATGGCTCACTGCAGCCTCAACCTCCCAGGTTCAAGTGATCCTCCCACCTCAGCCTCCTGAGTAGCTGGGACTACCGCCATACGCCACCATGCCCAGCTAACTTTTTAACTTTTTTGTAGAGATGAGGTCTTATTATGTTGCCCAAGCTGGTCTCAAATTCCTGGACTTAAGCAATTCTCCTCCCTTGGCCTCCCAAAGTGCTGGACTGCAGAAGTAAGCCATCATGCTCAGCCTAAATTTTGATTATTAAAATAATGTAGCCTGGGTGCCATGGCTCATGCCTATAATCCCAACAATTTGGGAGGCTGAGGTGAGGATTTCTTGAGCCCAGGAGTTAGAGGTTGCAGTGAGCTATTATTGTGCCACTGTACTCTGGCCTGGGTGACAGAGCAAAACCCTGTGTCTACAAAAAATAGACTTTTGAGTTGTCTACTTTTAGGCTGTATAATTTTGGGTTATTAATTAAAAGTGATGGCAAAAACTGCAGTTACTTTTGCATCAACCTAATGATAAAATAAAATAATGCAGTCTCACAAAATATAAATAGCACTTAAAAGCAGAATGCAAAGAGGAAAGAAGTTGTTATCCTCTGAAATACCATCACCAGAGGTAATCACTCCTAACAATTTAGAAAACACTTGGCAAGAAATCTTGCTTTAATTGTGTAATTTTGCAACAGAGTTAGATTTTATGTGCTATTCTGTAACTTGATTTGTTCTGTTTAACATATGGATGGATAGCTTTCTGAGGAAATGTATTTATTTATTGCCTATATTGAGATATGTAGTGTAACCTTGTCTCGGACCCTGGGCCCTGTCTGAAGTTTTAAGAGGAATGATTTGCCAGCCTTTCTCTAATCTTACTATTAACTCTTGTGTAAGCTTCCGAGGGCTACAGTAACAAAGTACCATATACTGGGTGCTTCGCACAACAGAAATGTATTCTCTCATAGCTCTGGAGGCCTGAAGTCCAAGAGCCATGCTCCTCACGAGGGCTCTAGGGAAGAGGAAGAGCTCTAGGGCTCTAAGGATCCTTCCTGCTTCTTCCTAGCTTCTGGTGGTTGCCAGTAGTTTTTTCCAAACTACAGCTGCCTCACTCCATCCACAATCACGTGGCCTCCCTGTGTCTCTGTGTTCTTCGCATGGTATTCTTTTTTTTTTGAGATGGAGTCTCGCCCAGGCTGGAGGGCAGTTGCAGGATCTCCGCTCACTGCAACCTTCGCCTCCCAGGTTCAAGCAATTCTCCCACCTCAGCCTCCTGAGTAGCTGGGATTACAGGTGTGCACCACCACGCCTGGCTAATTTTTTGTTGTTGTATTTTTAGTAGAAACAGGGTTTTACCATGTTGGCCAGGCTGGTTTTGAACTCCTGACCTCAGGTGATCCACCCACCTTGGCCTCCCAAAGTGCTGTGATTACAGTCGTGAGACACCGTGCCCTTTACATGATATTCTCCTCTCTGTGTGCCTAGGTCCGCATTTCTCTCTTCTACCAGGATACTGATCATTGGATCAGGGCCCACCTGAATCCGGCGTGAATTCTTTTACTTTGATTACAACTGCAAAGACCGTATTTCCAAATAAGGTCACATTCACAGGTGCTGGGAGTTAGGACTTCTCACACAATGTCCCTTTAATTCAGCAGGTAATCACGGAGGATCTCCTTGAGTGAGGGCTGTGCTAGGGCCTGAGGGGAACAGAGAGAAGCCCAGATCTTGGTTCTTGGCCTCAAAGACTTTCAAGGCATTGAGTGGAAGCCCCACAGAGAGGAAATGTCAAGATATGCAGGAGTGTAGATCTAAGTGCTAAAATGTTTGTGTAAACAGTGAACGATTTAGGTTTTGGAAACAGAGAGACCTGGATCACGAATGGCTAGAAAGACTAAGAAAGGCCCTGTGGAAGGACTGAGTGTGAACTGGACTGCTGGGTGGGGGAAAAGAGGCACGGGGATGGGAGTGAGCAGGTGGGCTGAGGCCCAGGACTCAGCCGAGCTGTACAAGTGGAGCCTTGGGAGCCTTACGGAAGTTAATGAGTCAGTTAGGCTGGGCTGGGGACCTAGGCATGGGCACATTTTAAAAGTTCCCCAGGAGCATAGCAGCATTATTCAAAAAAGCCAAAAGGTGGAAACAACCCAAGTGTCCATCAACAGATGAATGGATACATGAAATGTGGCATAGACATGAAGGGATGAAATTATGATTCAGGCCAGGTGTGGTGACCCACATCTGTAATCCCAGAACTTTGGGAGGCCGAGGCAGATCACTTGAAGTGAGGAGGTCAAGAACAGCCTGGCTAACAGGGTGAAACCACATCTCTACTAAAAATACAAAAAATATTAGCCGAGGATGGTGGTGCATATCTGTAATCCCAGCTACTCAGGAGACTGACGCAGGAGAATCACTTGAACCCTGGAGGTGGAGGATGCGGTCAGCCGAGATTGCATCACTACACTCCAGCCTGGGCAACAGAGCAAGACTCTGTCTCAAAAAAAAAAAAGAAGAAAGAAATTATGATTCATGCCACAATATGGATAAATTTTGAAAACACTTGCTAGGTGTGAAATCAACCAGAAGAGAATACATATTGTATGATTCCACTTACATGACTTATCTAGAATAGGCAAATTCACAGATAAAAGTAGAGGCCAGGCTAGGTAGCTTATGTTTGTAATCCTAGCATTCTGGGAGGCCAAGGCTGGAGGATCACTTAAGGCCAGGAAGTCAACACCACCCTGGGCAACAGAGTGAGACCCTGTCTCTATATTTAAAATAAGGTTAAAATTAGCCAAAGACCGGACATGGTGGCATATGCCTGTAATTCTAGCACCTTGGGAGGCTGAGGTGGGCACGTCACCTCAAGTCAGGAGTTCGAGACCAGTCTGGCCAACATGGCGAAATCTTGTCTCTACTAAAAATACAAAAATTAGCCAGGCATGGTGGCACACTCCTGTAATCCCAGCTACTCAGGAGACCGAGACAGAAGAATTGCTTGAACTCAGGAGGCGGAGGTTGCAGTGAGCCGAGATTGTGGCCCTGCACTCCAGCCTGGGTGACAGAGTGAGGCTTTGTCTCAAAAAAAAAGAAAAAAATTGGCCAGGCATGGTGACACATGCACGTGGTCCTAGCTACTCAAGAGGCTGAGGAGGGAGGAATGCTTGAGCCCAGAAGTTTGAGGCTGTAGTGAGCTATGATTGTGCCCTTGCACTCCAGCCTGGGCAACAGAGCAAGACTTGTCTCTATTCAAAAGAGAGAGAGAGAGGGAGAGAGAGAGAGAATAAAGTTTCCCAGGAACTCATAGGACGGGGAATGGAGAGTTCTTGTTCAATGAGTGCAGAGTTTCTGTGTGGCATGATGAACAAGTTCTGGCAATGAATGGTGCTGATGGTTGTACCATATTGTGAATAATATGCTTAGTGCCAGTGACCTGTACACTAGGCTGGCACTGGAGGCCTGGGTTGAACCAAGTGCAACTGACTCTATCTGAGGTTTTGGAGAAGGCTCTAAGAGTCTCATTTTCTCATGTCCCAAATGTCAGACTTTAAAATCATGTGAATAGCCTATTTCTTTTTGTGACAGATATGGAGATTGTGTGATAAAGGGTTAGGGTCTCACAATAAAGGTGACAATTTCACAATAAAGATGACAGTGACCAGAGCCTAGCTCTCCCAGCTCCTACCTCAGTGGTACTGACCTCAACAAAATAGAACTACTCTAACCTCTTATGCTCTTGAGCAGCAAGTCACTCAAGAAATATGGTTGTAATTTGCAAACAACAAATACAGAACAAGCAACTACAGCCTGGGCAACATGGCGAAACCCCTGTCTCTCCCAAAAAATACAAACAAAAGAAAATTAGCTGGGCATGGTGGCATGCACCTGCAGTCCCAGCTACTCAGAAAGCTGAGGTGGGAGGATTGCTTGAGCCCAGGAGGTTGAGGCTGTAGTGAGCTGTGAGCGTGCCACTGCACTCCAGCCTGGGCTACAGCGTGAGACCCTATCTCAAAAACAACCAACCAAAAACCCAAACAACTAAAACTTCCCTTCTGTTTAGTTTTGCCCTTCCCCAAAATGCTGTGAAGAGAAGTTAGGTAATAGCAACTGAGATCGTAAATGTACTAGATATTGGCAAGATAATTAGGTGTAGGAGAAAGGGCTTATATTTTGGAAAAGAAAGGTATTATATTAAGCCAATCATTAATTTCAACTTTCTGTTGCTGATGAGAGCCATGCCAGTCACAGATGGGCTCCCAGGGACAGAGTTTGCTTTTACTTCTTAGATGGAACCTCACTGGCTTCTTCCTGTGTCCCCCAGGCTGGTACAACCGTCTGTACATTAATTTCACGTTGCGTCGCCACATCTTCTTCTTCTTGCTCCAAACTTATTTTCCTGCCACCCTGATGGTCATGCTGTCCTGGGTGTCCTTCTGGATCGACCGCAGAGCTGTGCCTGCCAGAGTTTCACTGGGTAAAAGCATTTCACAAGGTGTGGTAGGGTGGTTATTTTTTCAATTTATCACTATGTTTAAAAAAAGTGAAAATCATTATTTCAAGCTCTTGACTGATGAGCTATCATAGTCAGAAGGAGCAACTTCTGTTTCTTGCCTTCAACATCTAGATGCTGGTCTCAGTTTCCCCTACATTATGAGAGCCAAAGGGAGCTAAAACCACATCAACTGTGATTACATCACTTGAGAAAGATTTGGGGTTAGACTTCGGCAAGTGTCAGTATCAGAGCTCCGTACTTAGATAAATAAGACGGTTCTGCAAATGCCAACACTTCCTTCTGTAAATACAAAAACTTCATTTGCTGGTCTTTTAGACAGACTGAGGGCTTAGAGGCAGGCCCAGAATATGAGATTTCTGGGAAAAGGTGCGCCACGTTCCCTGGAGCTGTGGTTTAGACTTTCACAGACCCTGAATTCCATAGTAAAAGTTTACAACATGTCATTGTAAACTTAGACAAAAATCAGGTTAGGCTTTGAGAAATATGATGGTTTAAGCAGCAAGACAGAGTGAAGAAGAATCCCGCGTGATGGGCCTCTGGCAATTTCCACAGCCTTTAAGGACTTAGTAAGTGTGGCTTAGATGAGGGTGAATGTGTCTATTCCTTGAAGTTTGGGAGAATTCCTTCAGAGGTGCCTTTTAGTCGCTGTCTTTAATTCCACATGAGAACAGGTCCTCTCCTTGTCAGCCACATCAGAGAAACACAGTCTTTAAGGTGCTTGAAGTAAAAGGTGACAAGCAGCGAGTTGGCTCCGGGGAGAGGAGGCCTGGCTGTTGGAGGGGCAGATCCTCGCCCCTCTCCGAGGTGGAAACACATCTGGGAATTTCTCATGTGGTGTAACAGACAGAGAGTGTGAAATCGGGGCTTAGTGAGATGCGGGGGCCGATCAGCAGCCCAACGAACGCCGGGCGTTGCAGGTATCACGACGGTGCTGACCATGACCACCATCATCACGGGCGTGAACGCCTCCATGCCGCGCGTCTCCTACGTCAAGGCCGTGGACATCTACCTCTGGGTCAGCTTTGTGTTCGTGTTCCTCTCGGTGCTGGAGTACGCGGCCGTCAACTACCTGACCACCGTGCAGGAGCGGAAGGAACGGAAGCTGCGGGAGAAGGTGAGAGGGCCCCTGTGGCCCTTGCCTAAGTCCATGCCACTCGGTGAAAATGAAGGCTGGCTGGGCGCGGCACAGAGGCGGGGGCATGTAGAAAAAGATGTTTGTGCAAAAGGAGGCGGAACTTGTTTTAGAATAGGTTCTGGCTTCTAATCCGAAGGATTCCAGAAAGCAGAAGGTCTTTGGACAAAGACTAGGAACAGGAAGACTTGGGTCTTAGACTCAACTTTGCCACCTATGCTGAGCCTCAGTTTCCTCATCTCTAGAAGAGATTGCAGAACACTCACCTCTATAGTAAGAGTCACGTGAGATAATGTATGTGAAAGTTGTTTCGATCTTACACATACATCAGGGATCTAGACAAACAAACTCTCCCTATTATTACTGAACGTGTCTAGGGACAATGCCTCTCTGTCTTATGACCAGAGAAGGGAGAGTTCTAGAACAAAAAATGCCTTTATTTTTCAGTGCTCAGCGAAAATTCAGCCACAGTAAGGACTAAAGCTAAATATTTTATATATTTTTCTTTAAAAAAAACTTTTGGGGGGAAATAGGGGAGGGACAGCAGGGGATGGGGAGCTGGGGAGGGACAACATGGGGAGAAATGCCAGATATAGGTGATGGGGAGGAAGGCAGCAAACCACACTGCCATGTGTGTACCTATGCAACAATCTCACATGTTCTTCACATGTACCCCAAAACCTAAAATGCAATTAAAAAAAAGAAAAAAAACTTTTATGTGTGGATGTAGCAGAAAATTGGAAGTAATATACTATCAGCTGGGCATGGTGGCTCACGCCTGTAATTCCAGCACTTTGGCAGGCTAAGGTGGTCAGATCACCTGAGGTCAGGAGTTCAATACCAGCCTGGCCAACATGGTGAAACCCTGTCTCTACAAAAAATACAAAAATTAGTTGAGCATGGTGACACACACATGTAATCCCCACCACTTGGTAAGCTGAGGCAGGAGAATCGCTTGAACCTGGGAGGTGGAGGTTGCAGTGAACCAAGATCACACCACTGCACTCCAGCCTGGGCAACAGAGTAAGACTCTGTCTCAAAAAATAATAATGAATAAAGAAATACTATACCATCTATGCTATACTGTACTATATTATACTACAGTTGATCCTTGAACAAGGCAGGGGTTGGGGTGCTGACCCCTTGTGCAGTGGAAAATCCAAGTATAACTTTTGATTCCTCCAGAGCTTAACTACTAACGGCCTCATATTGACTGGAAGCCTTATTGATAAGATAAACAGTCGATTAACACATATTTTATATGTTACATGCATTATAAAATGTATTCTTACAATAAAGTAAGCTAGAGAGAAAATGTTAAGAAAATCATAAGGAAGAGAAAATATCTTTACAATTCATGAAGTGGAAGTGGATGGTCATAAAGGACTTCATCCTCGCCATCTTCACTCTGAGTAGGCTGAGGAGAAGGATGAAAGAGAGCCTTTGGTCTTACTGTCTTCGGGGTGGCAGAGGTGGAAGAAAATCTAAGTGTAAGTGGATCTGTGTAGTTCAAACCTGTGTTGTTCAAGGGTCCACTGCATACTATGAGACAGAATGCAACTGGGAGATTTTTCAAAGCTATACTCACGAGCCTTTGGCACAGAGAGGCAGTCTTTTTCATTCACAGTCAGACTCTTTTTTTTTTTTTTGAGATGGAGTTTTGCTCTTGTTGCCCAGGCTGGAGTGCAGTGGCAGGATCTTGGCTCATTACAACCGCCGCCTCCCAGGTTCAAGCGATTCTCCTGCCTCAGCCGGCTAATTTTGTATTTTTAGTAAAGACGGGGTTTCGCCATGTTGGACAGGCTGGTTTTGAACTCCTGACCTCAAGTGATCCACCCGCCTCAGCCTCCCAAAGTGCTGGGATTACAGGCTTGAGCCACCATGCCCAATAGTTAGACTCTTATTCATTTTAGAGTGAGGTCAGTGCAAAAGTAATGGCATAAACTGCAATTATTTTTGTACCAACCTAATAGTAAATAAATAATGCTGACTTGCTACCTAATCATAGCCAATCACTGCACTAATCAAAGTGGGTGTTTATCTAAAAGCTGTGGAGATAAATGAACATGAAAATCTCACATTTATGCACAACTGGGTGGCCATTAACCTTTCGGCATAAAGGAGCTTTTAAAGTTAAAATAATTTATTTTGCCATGTCATGACATTTTGGTCAATGGGACATTTACATTTTAAGAAAAGAGAATATGTTGCCTTTTCAAAAATTGTCTTTCAACACCTGCATTATACCTGTCAAGTATTTCCACAAAGTCTCTGTTAACTTAAAAAAAAATCAGATATTTATAAATTTGAAAAAGGAGACTTTATTTCTAATAAAGGATTACAGTCTGCAAGGTGGCCATCCCAGAGGCTGGGAAGTGCCGCCTCCAGCAGAGACCTGGAAACAGTACTTTGAAGGAGGAAGTGTTGGAGTAGGAGCTTTATGCTGAATATGGCTAAACATACATATTCAATAGGTTATGAGTATTTCATAAATACTTTATATAAATATTTTATAAATATTTCAACAGATTTGTGAATATTTATGATCTTAGTTCTGACACATGCCTATTGAACAAACGTGCATGTAACATACAACCCTTGTTCACCTTGGGGTGGAGACTTAACATTTCAATGTATTGCAATTAGACCCTATATGCAAAAGAGACACAAAGGCACTCAAGTGAACAGCCTCTGTAAACTGACCAGGACTGGTCCATGGTTGATGGTCTTATCAAGCAAAGGTTACTAAAATCACTCTCTCGTCCAATCAAAGCTGTAGTTATGGCTGGTGGAACAGGGGCCGGGGGGTTTGGTCAGTCAGTGTCGGATGGTTGGTGAGCTGCAAATTCTTTTTTTTGATACAGGCTCTGGCCCTGTCACCCAGGCTGGAGTGCAGTGGTGTGATCTCGGCTAACTGCAGCCTCCATCTCCTGGGCTCAAGCTGTCCCCCTCCTCAGCCTCCTGAGTACCTGGGACCACAGGCATGTACCACCATGCCAAGACTAGTTTTTGTATTTTTAAAAGAGATGGGATTTTGCCATGTTGCCTAGACTTGTCTCAAACTTCTGAAGTCAAAGCCATCTGACTGCCTTGGCCTCCCAAAATGTTGGGATTACAGGTGTGAGCCACTGTGTCAGCCCCAAATTGTTTTAACATTGCTTATCTCGAGGCCAGTGCTTATTTAGCTGCTAGAGAAAAAGAAAAACCTTATAGCAGTGAGAACACAGTGTCTTCTTTAAGTGCAGGGTATGTGACTTAACCCAGGCCTCTAATGGCCTTAGGTAATGTTTGTAATTTGGTATCTCATTGCCATATATTATTAGGGACATAGATGAAGCTGGAAACCATCATTCTCAACAAACTAACACAAGAACAGAAAACCAAACAGCATGTTCTCACTCATAAGCAGGAGTTGAACAATGAGAATATATGGACACAGGGAGGGGAACATCACACACTGGGGCTTGTTCGGGGTGGGGAGCTAGGAAAGGATAGCATTAGGAGAAATACCTAATGCAGATGATGGATTGATGGGTGCAGCAAACCACCATGGCACGTGTATACCTATGTAGCAAACCTGCACATTCTGTACATGTGTATCCCAGAACTTAAAGTATAGTACAAAAATATTAAAAAAGAAAAATCTAGAAAAGGTAAAAAAAAATCTGGTCTGTCTTATGATCTGTATTTCAGCATTAATGCTGGTCAGTTGTGTCTAGACCTCAAAAGGAAGAAGGAAAACAAGGTGTGTTCGACCTCTTGTCCCATCATGACTGGAGCTCAGTTTTTAAGGTTTCTCTGGTGTCCCCTTGACTAAGAGGGGGTCTGTTCAGTCAGTTTAGGAGGTTAGAATTTCATGTTTAGTTTACATCTCCAAATATATTATACTAGATTGCTTATTTTTAAAGCTCTTTTTTACTTCAGAAAATTTACTTGTTTAAACTTTCATTACCTAATGTAGCTACACTGATCATTGTCACAGGCCTTTGGACTATATTTAAACACTTTTGACTTACAAATCATTAGACTTTCCCGTATAGAGCAGTTAAAAAGATAGCAAAGCCTTCATTTGACAAATAGGGGCTCACTAACGTTCACCAGCACAACTAGCCTGTTTCCATAGCAGGTCCTGATCTTTGCCAGCAATTGTATGAGCTTGTTTAAAGAGGCAAGGAAATTATCTATGGAAAGAGCCTTGGGGCCCCTAAGTCTCCCCGTCTGTCTGTGTGGTAACAGACATTGGGAGGTGAGAGCTTGTACTCTGCTGTTGTCAATGTAGGATTTAAGGCCAAGAAGCACAGTTGCTGGAGTGCAGACGCTGGTGAGAAGACACACACTCTCTCTCCTGCTGCCTCACAGAGAAACCAATATTCACGGTCATTGAAATGGTTCCCAGTAGAGCTGAGGTTCTTAAGTGGAAGCCACGGAGAACCTGCCCTGGAATCACCTCCTAAGTCTGTTAAAAATGGATTCCCAGGCCACACCCTAGGTCTACTGATTCAGAATCTCTGAGGATGGCACCCTGGAATCAACATTTTAAGCAAGCTCCCAGGTGATTCCAATGCTCACTGAAGTGTGACTTCTACTCTGTAAAGGGAAAAGCTGCCTGGGACTCAATAGGTCCACCCTTGGTTTGAATGGCAGACAAGTGCAGGCATGACCACGCGGCTCGTGGGAGCCCAGGGCCTGCCTCCCCTCAGTTGCTCCAGTACTTCGGCTGATTAGCCAGACCTTGCCTGACATGCCAGAAGCCACTTCCTCTTTCTTAGAAACAAGCTGATCTGTGTGGCATTCCCTGATTCAAACTCAAAATCTTAGGAGAAAAGTCTGTTTTCATTTTAGCAGAAACATTTTCAGTTTAGAGCAAGGAGAAGAAGTAAAGACCTGTTCCTTAAATAAATAAATAAATAACCCTTCATTATAATATCACACAATTTTATCAGTTTGGGTGTGATTATACCTAAATGCAAAGAGTTGAATAGGGCTAGGGATGGTGGTACATGCCTGTAATCCCAGCACTTTGGGAGGCCAAGGCAGATGGATCCCTTGAACCCAGGAGTTTGAGACCAAACTGAGCAACTTGGTGAAACCCCATATGTACAAAAAACACAAAAATGAGCTAGGTGTGGTGGCATGTGCCTGTAGCCCCAGCTACTGGGGAGGTCAAGGTGGGAGGATCCCTTGAGCCCAGGAGGTGGAGGCTGCAGTGAGCCAAGATGGTGCCACTGCACTCCAGCCTGGGCAATAATAAAGAAGGACCCTGTCTAAAAAAACAAAGAGAGAGAGAGAGAGAGAACCTCTTACTGACCTTTTATCCCTAACTCCCTTATATCTATGAGTCTATGTTTATTATTCAAGAATTGTTGGCCAGGCACGGGGCTCATGCCTGTAATTCCAGCACTTTGGGAGGCCGAGGCAGGTAGATCACTTGAGGTCGAGTTTGAGACTAGCCTGGCCAACATGGTGAAACCCCATCTCTACTAAAGATACAAAAAATTAGCTGGGTGGGGTGCTGCATGCCTGTAATTCCAGCTACCCAGGAGGCCGAGGCAAGAGAATCGCTTGAACCCAGGAGGAGGAGATCGCAGTGAGCTGAGATTGTGCCTTACTGTACTCCAGCCTGGGAGATAGAATGAGACTTCCATCTCAAAAAAAAAAAAAAAAAAAGAGGCTGGGCGCTGTGGCTCACGCCTGTAATCCCAGCACTTTGGGAGGCCGAGGCAGGTAGATCACGAGGTTGAGAGATCGAGACCATCCTGGTCAACATGGTGAAACCCCGTCTCTACTAAAAATACAAAAAATTAGCCGGGCGTGGTGGCGCGAGCCTGTAATCCCGGCTACTCGGGAGGCTGAGGCAGGAGAATTGCCTGAACCCAGGAGGCGGAGGTTGCGGTGAGCCGAGATCGCGCCATTGCACTCCGCCTGGGTAACAAGAGTGAAACTCCGTCTCAAAAAAAAAAAAAGAATTGTTACTGATGGAACAAGATACAAAAAATAATAATGAAACAATCATGCCTGATGAAAAAAAAAGCCCCCTAAACCACAAACAATTTCTTCAAGGATAAGAATATTTCAAGCCATTATAATTCTGCATAAAACCATTCATCTATTTTTGCATTCTAAAGCTTTATGATATTCATCTGAGAGTTTCAGGATCCATAACAATAAGAGGTAGGTTCTGAAACTTCATAGTTTTGCTTTCCCAGGGAAAATAGAGGCACTGAAGGGCTGAGAGCCAGGTCAGAAACAGATTAAAATCAACGCCAGTTGGCTGTGTCGGGTGGGCTTCCTGCTCTGTCAACACCAAGCTTCCAGGCACCAGTGGAAGCCCACTCTCCACTGACAACTATGAGGAGAAGTCAAGTAAAACCATTTCCTTCCTTTCCGCTTAGAATGTCTTATAAATATTTCCAGACTTGCAGAAACTATTAAAATAGGATAATGTACATTCAGGTACCCAGCACCTAGATCCAACTCATCCATTCAGAAAATGAATGCATAACACATTTTCTCCATATAAACATGTATCTGTTGGTGCAGTTGAACTGTCTAAAAATACATTGCAGATACCATGACCCTTGACTCTTAAATGTGACTTTTTAAGGTAAGGACACTCTTCTACCTCATCATCTTTTTCTTTTCTAAAAAAAGAGACAGGGTTTTGCTATGTCACTCAGGCTGGAATGCAGTGCTGTGATCACTGCTCACTGCAGCCTCAACCTCTTGAGCTCAAGTGATCCTCCTACCTTAGCCTCCTGAGTAGCTAGGTCTACAGGTGCATGCCACCATGCCTGGCCAATAGATTTTTTTTTTTTTTAGTAGAGAAGAAGTCTCACTATGTTTCCCAGGCTGGTCTTGAAATCCTGGCCTCATGTGATCCTCCTGCCTTGACCTCTCAAAATGCTGAGATTATAGGCATAAGCCACTGCACCTGGCTCCTAATCATCTTTTGATTCCTGCACAGGAAGGTGGAGTCCTGCAGCTGGAATCAGACTATATGGACTTAAAGTCCTGCTCTGACACCAGCTGTGTGGTCTCAGAATCATAGAGTTTTCTGGGACCTAGTTTTTGCCCCTGCAATTGAGGGCATTTGGACTAGATCAGTGGTTCTCAATTCTGGCTACACAGTAGAATAACCTGGGAATTTTAAATTAATTGCTCTAATGTGCAGTCTGGGCATGGCCAGTTTAAAGAGCTGCACAAATGATTCTAATATACAGCCAGGGTAGAGTATCGCTGGACTAAGTAACCCCTGGAGATCTTGTAGTTCTGTCTTTCTGTGGTTCTGAGTAGCAATACGGCTTTGCTCTTGGACCAGGCCCCTTGCTCTGCCCACCTCACAAGGCTTCATGATGTTCTTTGTGCTTGCTGCCCATAGTTCCCGTGCATGTGTGGAATGCTTCATTCAAAAACCATGATGCTGGATGGAAGCTACAGTGAGTCTGAGGCCAACAGCCTGGCTGGGTACCCCAGAAGCCATATCCTGACAGAAGAAGAAAGGCAAGACAAAATAGTGGTCCACCTGGGCCTGAGTGGTGATGCCAACACTGCCAGAAAGAAGGGGCTCCTGAAGGGCCAGATGGGTTTTCGTATCTTCCAGAACACCCATGCCATTGACAAATACTCCAGGTTGATATTCCCTGCCTCCTACATATTTTTCAACTTAATTTATTGGTCAGTGTTTTCCTAGGGACTCTAAGGCTGTTCCTAGAAGAAGGCATAGACATGGAGGGGCCTGGCCAGTCATGGGCAGATGGACTTGTTGACCACACACCCCTCACCAGACAGAGCAGCAGCTGCTGGACCACCCTGTGCAGCACCCATCTCTCAGAGGAGCCCAGGAGCCCTCCAGCTGCCCTGACCCGGGACCTCGTGGGGTTGCTCCTTGCTCATGCTGTGTCTCACGTCACAGTTCACATCTCTCTGGGACCGCCGTCTTCTGTTCTTGTGTGTGAACTAGTTCATAAGAACTCCCCTCCTATAAACAAGGACTCAAATGCCTCCCAGACATTCTGAGATCCTCAGGATGCCTAGGATTCAGTTATGGAGGGTAAAGAAAAAACTGAAGGGCAAGCGTAGGGGCATTCTGGATAGGAGACAGGAAATTAGAAAGAAAACCCCCCTGTAAACCCATGCAACTGGATCAAGTGCCTGTCTAGAAGGAAAAAGAGCTCAGATCCCAGATAGGAAATGATATGGAAGTATGGCAACCCACAGGATTTTGCAATATTAGAGAAGATTTTCATTTAACCATCCATTCAACCATTTATTAAATATTGAGGTCCCACTCTGCACCAGGTACTGTGGAAATGAAAAAAAGAGTCTCTTTCCTCAGAGATCTTCTCTAAGCTGTTCTCATTCTACATGTGGCGTGAGGTGCTCCTGTTCTTTCCCCTCCCTCAACCCCTCTTTCCCCACAGACCCATTCTGTTTGCTGTTGCTTTTACTCTTAAGCATATAAGGCAGTGTCCATGAGAGACAAGGTGCAGAACTTTCAACTGTCCTCCTTCAATGGAGTTACGCAGATAGCACTGATTTTGCCCAGCAATGATGCCTGGCAACGTGCATGGAGTATTACCAGCCAGGGAAACTCACCCAAGCTCGCCAAATTGTACAGTTTTTTTATTGGCATTGGCCATGGATTTATGGCTAATTGCCCTCATGGCTGACTTTAGTCTTTAGCCTCTCCAGAAGTTGAGCTGTTACCTTGAGGTCCAGGGCACCCATCATAAATCACACTGTTGGCATAGACTATCTGGTGTGGTCCAAGGCCCCAGTACACAAAGACTGTCTGTCACACAAGAAATCCCAAGGGCATAGAGGTTCCCTTCCAGGGGTTGGGGCCAAGGTTCAAACAACCTTTATTTGGGCAAGGTTAGTCCTTCACTACGCAGCAACTCTTGTCAATTCCTTACCATTAATGTTAATTACAGTGTTACTATTATATATTCAGGCAATAAACATTTTAAAGTATCTCTGCACTAGGTATAGTGGGGTCCAAATGAAGAATAAGAATAGTCAAAGCTCTCAGAGAAGGAACTAGTAGAGGAATTGCCACATAGATATCTATAATGCAAGGTTCCGACTGTTTAGTGCCTCAGTAATGGTTCAATGTGAGATGAGAATTCTGAGGAAGGAAAAACAGTCCCACTGGGGAGATGGGCCTCATGGAGAAAGCAGCCCTGAGATACCCCTTGAAGGTCAGGATTTTAAGAAGAAGAAGAAACAAGGCAGAATACATCCTAGATCCAGGCTGTCTAATATGGTAGCCACTAGCCACATGCCTATTTAAATTTAAATTAGTTAAAATATTAGCCGGGTGTGGTGGTATATGCCTGGGGTTCTAGCTACTCAGGAGGCTGAGGTGGGAGGGTTGCCTGAGCCTAGGAGTTCCAGGCTGCTGTGAGCTGTGATCAAGCTACTGCAGTCCTGCCCGAGCGACAGAGTGAGGCCCTATCTCTACAATAATAACAATTATGATTTGGATTAGTTGAAATTGAATAAAATTGAAAACTCAGTTCCTTGGTCACACCACCCACACTCAAGTATGTTCAGTAAGCACAGTTGCCAGTAGCTGCTGCATTGGGCTGTGCAGACCTAAAGACCAGAAAGCTCTACCAGCCAAGAGACAGCCTGAGAGGATGCATGGCGAGAACAGGAAGGTTTGCCATTGCAGAGGATAGGGTTTATGGGCATGTCATTCATTTTGACAGGATCCCAGGCTGTGGGAAAAGGAGATGAGAGAACAACTTTTTCCACAACACTAGGGGTCAAGGCAGGTCCCCACCATGCTGGTGCTTATGAGGACAGCTTCCCCACTATGGAGTTGTTGGACCCAAGACCACTAGATTTTCCAGCCTCATAGACTAATGAAGAATAAAAATGCATAAACAAGTGTGATTGGGTGGTACAGGGCATGTGGACTTGTTTAGAAACCTTTTATCTCTTGAGACTCTCCCAGGCCACAATGCTGCTCAAAGAATGATAATTTTATTGTCATTAAATACATCGTTTTGCTTTGGTTGTAAGTCTTATTTAATTCCAACACTCCTCCGCTTCTGACTGCACTGTTTTCATAAATTGTGGTTCTTATAATGTGGTTGCCTGTTCACAAATTAAAACAAATAAAGATGTATTTTTGCTAGCTTCTATGTTAAACTGGAGTTTATTCTATAGCAGACATATGTAGGATCATAAACTGTGTTTTATCATGCAGGGCCATGATACAATGACACCATTATATTTAGCATTGCCTTACGAGGGTCTAATAGTCTGACACTACTTGAGAAAAGTAGAAAATTTAAAGAGGTAAAGTGGAGACAACATCGGCAGGAGTAGAAAACAGGAACTTAAGGAAATAGTGAGAACCTGTGATGATTCACCCTGGAGGCAGGAAGACAGAGGAGCAAGCACAATTGTTATTTGTTATCAGGGATGCATGAATGATACTTTACTTCACTGAATCTAAGACATTGTGAAACGTAAGATGCACCCATATTTTATGTACTGAGAAAAAATACTAATAAATTCTGGCCAATGATTATAATATGAATTCTGATTTCACCAATATGAAACTGTGAAAAAATATTAATGTTACAATAAAAGAAATGGGTTGCATACAAAAACTGGTGATTGGACATACTTCATTGACACCAAGAAGACAATATTTATTTAGCACTTGTCCTCAAGGTCTTGTGCCAAGGTGAGGGATGGTGGTGACAGGTAAAGAAATGAATGGGAAACACTCTTCAGTCATTAAGAAGTTTATACTCTAATGGATGCGGTTCAAAGGAGGGAAAGATCACAGAATTTGAGGAGTGTTTTCTGCCAAATTTTGAGCAATGAATAAACACAGCTTTGACTACTAGAAAAGGGAAGGAAAGGATGATAACTTGGCAGAAGGAAAGCTCAGGTGTGTTCAGGGGTCAGTGAACAGACACCCTGTGGAATATACAAAAGACGTAAGATGGGAAAAGCAAGTTGGACAAAAAGGGCTTTGAGCAGGGAAGTAATAATCTTTTGGAAAACCAATTTGCCATCAGAACATAAACAGGTGTATTTTTTTTAGCCATTTTAGTTGCCAGTGACAGAAATTCAGCTAAAAATGGTACAAATGAAAAGGAGATGTACTGGAAGGATATGCCAAGAGCTCATAGAATGAAAGAGGATTTGAAGGAAGCACAGAAGCTCTGGGGACTTAAGGGTCTGGAATTGGGTTTCTTCAGGGTCATGTCTCCATCCAACACTCTGTCATCATTCTCACCCACTACAGACAACTTTCCTCCACCTGGTGGGGGTGGGTAGGGGGGTGGGTGTGGGGAGTGGCCTTGACAGTCTTAGGCCCACAGCTTTCTAGCTCAATTACCCATTGTCAAGGGTCTTTCTATGCTCATCCCACTTAGAATAAACCTGGGGAATGATTTGACTGGGCTGGGCTGGGCCATATAAGTCGAAGATGATGAGAGCTCTGTGCTGTTTAGGTTGAGAAAGCTAAAACTCTTCAAAAACACTTTTATTTGGTTCCATCTTTTTGCAAACATCTGTTGAAGGGAGGTCATGATTTGAAAAATGAAATACTGCTTAGTTTGAGGAAATCAGTGAAGAAGGAAAATAACATTAATAATAGTGGAGAAAGTTCACACTGAGTTCTGTAATGTGCCAGGGCCACAGCCTATGCATTGATATTCGCAGAGACTGGAAGCCAGGAGAAAGAGCTGATATGTGTGGAGGATGAGGAATTTGTTTGACAAGGAACTAAAAATGTCAAATAAAAAGCAGTAAATGTTGGTGTGAGACTGAGAGGGAGATAAAGATTTGGAGCCATATCCTAAATAGGCTGAACGAAGCAATGAAATGGACCAGACTCCAGAAGAAGAAGAAACAGCTGACAGCCGGTCACACAGACCAGCTTTATCCAATCAAGAGCTCAGGAGTATATATTTAGGTGGGAGGAGGATTATGATAGAAGCTGAGAGGAGAGAGTTTTTCAGTGGGAGGAGGGTGGGGCTGGGAGAAAATTAAAACCATAGACATGAGGAGGGTAAAGACTGAACAGATGAGGCAAGGTGTAGGCAGGAGGCTCGGTGGCCACAAACACCAGGTAGACAGCCATCCTTGGTTGCCTCAACCACAGTGATTTAGGAAGGCAAAAGGAAAAATGTTCAGAGAATGATGTTACTTGTTATGGAAAGACAATTACAGATTCTTACATTTTTGAAGGCTTAAAACATGACATGGTAGCATACCCAGTCTGAATAAGGGCTGTGTTCTCTACAGTTGGTTCCCCAAACGATTCCACTGGAAATTGGGGGAGTGGCACAAGAACAACATTTATAACTGGCTCATCAGATCCAGTTGTCACAGAAGAGAAGAGAACAGCTGTTAAAGTGACCATATTAGGTAAACGGCCAAGTGTAGAGGGCATTCTCTGCTCAGCACCATGCTAGACACCAGGTGTGTGGTTCCTAATTCAGTTCTCACATCAACCCTGCTGTGGGCAGGAAGGACTTTTCCCCACTCCATACCTGCTAAGCTGTGGGGCCTTCCACAACTGTATTCAACATGTCTAGGTAGGTGGATCTTGCATGAAACAATCCATTTTCTCATAGTATTTCCAAGAAAAAGGTGATTCCTTCCCTTACATATATGGACAGAGAAGTGGTTAGAAAGAGCAGACAGAAAATCTGGGTGATGTTGAAACACATATACATGGTTATCTCTACACGCAGGTGAGAACTTGGAGTTAAACTAGGACATCCAGTTAGCTCCTTAAGGCAGGAAGCTGGCTTTGAGAGATGCACACATACATGTTCAGGGCAGCCAGGGCAGAGGCATCATGGGTTTCCAGCACCGACTCTGCTAAAAGGCACTATTCATTTAATGAGTGCTCAAGGAGAATCCACAGTCGCCGCCATTACCACCATTTGAAACGTCTTGTCTCTTTCATTCCATTGCAAAAGAATAGACAACTGGAGCCTGGGGGATTAGTGCCGGTTTGGAAGCTGCTGACTCCCCACTCCCACCAATCACTAGGAAATGGTACCGGTAAGAAAGGCTGTGTGCCTTACATGTGTCTGAGGACAAGTGCACCGGACTGTTCTCATCTAGGGTTAAGTCCTGTGCTAGAAGGGTCTCATGGCCCAGGCTGCCCAGCCTCCAGAGCCATCCAGAGCCTGCCTATATCTGTAGCATAGGAAAGTTCCCCATTAGCAGATTGGATAAAGCACTCAGTCCTGACCCTTGGACCTTCAGATCCCATTAAAAAAATGACATTTGGGCCAGCCATTGATAACATTAGGTTTCGGATTTATTTTAAAAGCCAAATTGAAAAATAAACCTTTGCTGTAGTACACTGCTGTTCAAACTGGCCAGGTTCATGGTGTTGAATGTGTTTCTCCACCTTGTCCATTTAGCCCAACATGTCTCAAATTTTAATGTGCATATGAATAACTTGGATACCTTCATAAAATGCAGAGTCTGATCCAGTGGGTTTGGGAGGGGACCCTGATTATGCATTTCTAACAAGCAGGGGATGTCTGTGCTACTGGTCTGGGACTTTAAGTAACAAGGCCCTGGAACCCCTGCTCATAATTTGAAGTGAAACTCAGATGTGTCACCTCCTGTCAGTGGCAACCTGACGAGCTATCTCACATTCCCTTCCCAAGGCAGAATTTATTATCATCTCATCGGTGTTCCCAAAGCAACATGGTGAGACCCTATCTTTACAAAAAATATTTTAAAATTAGCTGGGCATGGTGTCACGCACCTGTAGTCCCAGCTATCTGGGAGGCTGAGGTGGGGGATTGCTTAAGTCCAAAAATTGAAGGCTGCAGTGAGCTATGATTATACCATTGCACTCCAGTTTGGGTGCCAGAGAGAGATTCTTCTATCTCTAAAAAAGAGAACTAAACTAATACTAAAATACTCAGCCCAGTGTCTGGCCCCTGAAGAAAAATGAAGTAGAAGAAAGAGAGAAGGAGAAGGGAGGAACGTGTGGAAGAAGGAGGAGAGTGTTCCCAAGAGAGGAGGAGCATTGCTGAGCTTTAACTTTACCAAATGAAAAGGTTTAAAAGCATCCACAACCCAAAATATTGCTTCCACCTATTATCACTGTGATTTTTTTTGAGAAGGAGGCTCTTTCTGTCGCCCAGGCTGGAGTGCAGTGATGCGATCTCAGCTCACTGCAGCCTCTCCTTCCCAGGTTCAAGCTATTCTCCCGCCTCAGCCTCCTGAGTAGTTGGGATTACAGGCCTGGCTTATTTTTGTGTTTTTATAGAGATGGGGTTTCGCCACGTTGGCCAGGCTGGTCTTGAACTCCTGACCTCAGGTGATCGCCTGCCTTGGCCTCCCAAAGTGCTGAGATTACAGGCATGACCCATTGGCCCACTGTCATTTCTAAAAGAAAAATGTTAACACTGAAACTGTGGGAAGGTCTGAGTTCAGAATATATGCAATTCTTCCCAAGAAAACTCAGTTTGCACTTTATCCTTGATATTTTCACCAAAAGAACAGATGAGGGCCAGGCACGGTTGCTCACGCCTGTAATCCCAGCACTTTGGGAGCCTGAGGCAGGTGGATCACCTGAGGTCAGGAGTTTGAGACCAGTCTGGCCATAGCAAAACCCCATCTCTACTAAAAATAAAAAAAATTAGCGGGGTGTGGTAATTCTGGCTACTCGGGAGACTGAGGCCAGAGAATTGCTTGAACCTGGGAGGCAGAGGTTATGGTCAGCCAAGATCATACCGTTGCACTCCAGCCTAGTCCACAGAGCAAGTCTATGTCTCACACACACACAAAGAATCCAGAGTGAGATAAACAACTAGTTTAATTTTCTGCATGTTCCTTCTTAATAACAAAATAATAAAAGAAATAAGACAGCATTTAAAAACAACATTGTGAATAATAATGTGTGACTAAATGAGTCAGTAATCTGGGCCATTTGTACACCTGGGATTCAAGTTGCTGCTTATCTTAAGGCCACAGTGTGTAAGAATGATGACATCTTTCATTTTCCACGATACTCTCCTGCCCCTGACTACTGCATGTCACGTGCACATGCCACACGAATATGGCCATCTAAAGAGTGGGAATGTGTAGTCATATCTGTGTTCTGGGAAAGCCACCTTTTCATAAACTATTACCAGATAACTGTATAACTACCTACAGCTGTCAACTTTTATTGAGGTATGATTCACATGCACTAAAATGTGCAGATCTTAGGTGTATATTTCCTTTAGTTTAGACAAATGTATGTACCCATTAGCCCACAATCCACAGAGACAGAACATTGCTGGCACCTCATAAAGTTCTTCCATGCCACAGATTCATCATTATAATCACCTTCCCTTACTTCACAACTACTGTTCTGAGATCCATCACTATTAGATTGGTTTGATCATTTCTAAAACTTCATATAAATGGAATCATGAGGTAGGTACTCTTCTATGTCTGGCTTTTATTCACTCCACGTAGCATCTTTGGGATTAATTCACATTGTTGCATGTATCATTCCGATTTGCTGCTGAGCAGTATTCCTTTGTATGAATAACCAGAATTTCTTTATCCATTCTTCTGTTGATGGACATTTGGGTTGTTTCCAGTTTGGAGAAATAAAT